GCAGGAAACAGCAGGTTTGGTTTATTTGTTTTTTTTAAAAAAACTTTACAATTGACAAAAATAGGGATAGATGTTTTACAGTGAATCCTGGTAAAGTTTAAATAAGAATGTGTCTCACATCATTGATTTAGGTTTAGTACTCTCTTCTGCCCCATAGCTTTTCACTTCTGGGGCATTTCAGCTTTGCTTAGGTATTAGAATCATGACCATCCTTCTGGGGCACAGCCAAGTGAATTGAGTCAGTCAGTGGTCAATTCAGGTTCATACAGCCAGATGAACACTTAAACTGGGAGAAACACCACATAAGTTAACAGTTATCTGTGAGGGCAAAGGGGTAACCAACAGGGCGAATTCACCTGACAGCTACATTGACAGCAGCAGACCTTTAACCATTACTAAGTACTGGTTTTCCAGTTCAATCTCTTCGGGCTACAACCACTGTTAGAACTGGAAGATCCATTGTCAAGAAGCCACATGCCTGACCCCCTACATGACATGAGCTCAGGGAAAATCGTAAGTGAATCTAAAAAATGAACACATTTGTTACATTTTTTCACTTAATTGTCAATTGATGAAGCCATATCAGAGTCACCAGAGAAGGAAAATGATGAGGGCTACAGGAAAACAGCCACAGATCCGGTATTAAATGAAGAAAGTGTGTGGTCAGGGGCCAGTGCATCAGAGATAAAATATACCCTTTATTAAATACAGATAAAGCAAGACAAAACTAACACAGGACATAATCTGGGGACAAAAAAATTAAATAATTTGTGTATGGAAACAGAGCATTAGTCCACAAACACTGAGTTGCTTCCAGACCCTAAAAATATTCCCAAACCACTGAAGGAAGGTATTCAGTAGGCAGAATAATAATGTATTTTAGCACAAGGTGATTTCTTCCCCATTCTTAAAAAAAACAAAGGTTTATAAATGCATGTGTGTACTCTTTACCTAATCCATAGTTACAAAGCAGCCTAAAAGAACACTTAATGCCAATCAAATAAGGCAGATGAGGGGTATTACGGAAACAAAGCAATAATAAACCCGGCAACTATTTTTTTCTTTTTCAGTTAAGTGTTTCAAGCTAACTATTTCACGAAGTGTTAACAGGAGTGACACTCAATAATATATTAAAATTATAACAGTAGCTCCACAAATTGATAAATTCCAAGGTTTCAACTTCAGGCATGTTTTTGCCAACACGGGTAAGAACAGCAGCAGTAGTGCAACAGCAATCTCTGAAATTTAAGAGCATATTAAAACATTTACAGGTGTGCCAACCTTGGTTTTGTGAGGTGCACTGGGGAGGGGGAAACAAAAAAACACCCAATCACTCCACGTCTTTGACCC